GATACCGTATGCTCCCCACCCCCTGTGGCTAGAACATCATAAGGGAAAGAAAGTCTAATGCTATAGTATTAATTATAATATCTGACCTAATAGTATAGCATTTAAAATGAGGGTAAGTGAAAAACTAATGAATTGTATGAAATTATTGAGAACAAGTCAGGAAAATGGACTGGCTTTGTTTGTAAACGTAGTGGTTTGCTTCTTTGTTTCATTACCTTCTCCTCAAATAATAATGGGCATATATTATATTTTTAGTTTCATACTATAAATTAAGTTACATATGTATTATATTTATATATTTATTATGTTTATAATGCATTTTCATCTACATATATCTCCCTATGCACTCATTTTTTATTTCTTAAAATGATCAATCATAGATTTACATCTTTGCTTTGAAATATTTAAAACTTGATTTGCTAGTAGTGCAACTGCTTAGCTTGTGATACTTACATGAAATATTGTGAGCTTTTATGTAGGGTTCATCTTTGTAAGACATTTAGGTTCTAAATATCTCCATGAAAAATAAAATATCTTCCAAGCATCTCATTAGTCATTATAACTGAATAAAATTCTGAATTAGCTTGTATTTAGAGAAATTATTTTGATGTTAACCAAATTGATCCAAAGAAAACTTAGAAAAAAAAATCACTTCTGATCACAAAATTCCAAATATCCATTTGTCTCTATTGAGACTATATTCTACTATTTTAACAACTACTAGTAATAACTAAAAATTATTACACAGTAAATCATTAGAGGAGAGGAAATATTAATGATGTGGGAGTGATTTCTTATTAATAAAGAAACTGCCTAGACCCATTTGATAGGCCAACCCTTAGGTAGGCGGAGTAAACAGAATGGAATGCTGGGAGAAAGAAGCTGAGTCGGGGAGTCGCCATGATTCTCCCACTCCAGACAGACGCAGGTTAAGATCATTCCTGGTAAGCCAGCTCGTGGGCTACACAGATTAATAGAAATGGGTTAGATCAATATGTAAAAGCTAGCCAATAAGAAACTGAAACTAATGGGTCAGGCAGTGTTTAAAAGAATACAGTTTCCATGTAATTATTTCGGGTAAAGCTAGCTGGGTGGCAGGACACAGCCCGCCGCTCCGTATTTCAACAGAGTGGTGCCCAACGTGGGGCTAAATCCACTTAAAAACCTGAGAAGGCTTAAAAATAAGGAAAAGATAGCTTTTTGCTGTTTGTGGGTGGCGTGCCACAGAGAGAAATTGTCCTGACTCAGCAGCAGGAAAAAACTGGCTGTTTTAAAATGCCGGCTTTCTGGGCTGTGCCGCCATTACGATCTCTGTCTGGCTCCTGTGGGAGACAGAGCTTTTAAATGGAACATTTGGAGTAAAGCTCTACGGCTTGCTTGATGGCAATGTGGACTGCTGTGTGCCTGGAACTCTGTGTGGCTCAGGGGCACCAAATGGCTCTGAGGCGAGCGGCTTGGCTCAGCTCTGCCATGCTGAACTGTGCTGGTCTCAGGCAGAAACTACCGTAATTACCATAAAAACAGCACATTTAAGGTTTCAACTGGGCAGGACACAGGCGGTACCGTATTACCTGTACATGGTGCAACTTAAGTTTTTAAGAACTGCTGAACATTTTAAGAAATGCTCCTGGATAGTAAAAAAAATGTTACAGATTCACAATAAAACAGATTCAGACATAAAAGACCACAGTGTTGGATGAGTGTTCGTAGGCTTGAGAGAGAGAAGAAAAGAATATAGAGAATAAAGTTAATGGTTTAAAAAAAAAAGGTAAAGTCTTAAAAGAGACAGAGTACAGATAGTTAAGAGATTAAAAGAAATAAAGAAAAATAAGCCACGTAAGAATGGAAAATTCACAGAGAGTCTGGATAATGTACATTGTGTTTTCTTTAAAATTTTTGACTGTGAAGGAGCTAAGTACAGAGAGACATTTCATTATATGGACTGCCAAGTGTAACCAGAACGGATATCATGAGGGTATGACTTCAAAATTTGGGTCTAAGGATATGATGCTTTGGAGAGAGTCTTCTTTTGTTTTCACAGAGGATGAGACTCTATGGATTTTTTCTATTACAATTTGGTATGATAGACCACGCCCTCCTGAAAGGTTGTTGTGAACATCTTCAGAAAATTGCTTCGCTCAACTGCCAACTAAGATGAAACTAGCACACAGGTTATACCATGAAAGCCCTAATTAACGACGCCCCCATTCAGCAGGAAGCAGTTTGGAGAGAAAAACTGCACCCATGTTCCCAAAATATTGTTTATAAATGTTCTTTTACATTTAAAGGGGGATATGATATAGGTATGAATAATTTGCATTGGTATGGATTTTAAGGTCAATTTTGTTATATGTATATGTATTTTTGATCTTGAATAAGGTGTGATTGTGTAGTTCATTTTTAAAATGTAATGTATAATTAGGAAATATAGGTTGTTGATGGATAATCATAAATAATAGTCAAGTTTGTAGTCATGTTACTTAGATTTTCTAGATATATAGAGATATATTTCAGATAGGCATTCTTCATATCTCTCAAAGGCTACAGAATATGGCATTTAAAATATTTTAATAACTTAGGACTTTTCATGACAATGAGACACGTCTGCTGCTGGCAGCACCAATCTACTTCGAGAGAAAGATGGGCATCAAAGAGGATCCTTATGGAGTTTGATAGCCATTTGGGCAAGAAACTGCTCTTGCCTGGACTGTTGCATAAAATGGACACAGAGAACCCGCAGAGAGAGGACTACTGAACTTGCCTAAAGGTGAGATGGTCTTTCGGGGTTCATGACTCATGAAAGAGTCTGCGAGACATTCTACAGGACACAACAGATAATGACTAAACTGTCTTTGGAATTTCCTGCTTCATGAAAATGTCTGCTGGATACTTTGGGCCTGAAGGCTGAAGATGGATGCCCCAAAGGTACAAAAGAACTTTGGGTGACTGTCCAGGCAGCAAGATGTCTCTGTCATTTCTAGAGTTTTCTTATTTCTTGTTTACTTAGGTAGTATTATATCCTTCTGGAGTCTTTGATGGAGTTGAAGAATGAATAGATAGTTATAGTTTTCCTTAGTTATGATAAAAGATAAAATAGATATAAATATTGTAACTGTAATTCTTGCTTGATAACTGTTTTGCTATATGTAATTTTACTATGTTAAAGTTAAAGCCTTTCTTTATTGTTTAAACAGAAAAAGGGGAAATGATGTGGGAGTGATTTCTTATTAATAAAGAAACTGCCTAGACCCATTTGATAGGCCAACCCTTAGGTAGGCGGAGTAAACAGAACGGAATGCTGGGAGAAAGAAGCTGAGTCGGGGAGTCGCCATTATTCTCCCACTCCAGACAGACGCAGGTTAAGATCATTCCTGGTAAGCCAGCTCGTGGGCTACACAGATTAATAGAAATGGGTTAGATCAATATGTAAAAGCTAGCCAATAAGAAACTGAAACTAATGTGTCAGGCAGTGTTTAAAAGAATACAGTTTCCGTGTAATTATTTCGGGTAAAGCTAGCTGGGTGGCAGGACACAGCCCGCCGCTCCGTATTTCAACATATTAAAATCTGGTGAGTTACCAGCGAAACACTTGAACAAAAATTAGTGAAAGTTGGAAGGGAGCTAGTTGAGATGTGAACAAGCATGATCTTCGGGAAAGGCTAAGTGAAGACAGTGAGCATTAGAACGAAACTAATATTTTTAAAAAGTCCATTCGATGAAGAAATTGTCTTTCAAAAACTGGTGCAGCCAATTCATCGAAAACAGAAGTCTATTTTAGCCTTAATTTTTATTATATTTTAAGTATTGTTTTCATTGAAATGCAAACACATGACTTTCTCCTTCCTTTCTACCCTCCAGGCATTCCTGTCTCCCCTTCCTAAAATCCCTCTCATTTCCACCATTCTCAAGTTGGCAACCATTAATTGACTATTATTGTTACATTCATTAATGTGTTTAAATGTTTTTGCACATTATATATAACTACAAGCTATTGAGTCGATTTTTGTTATTGGTGTGTATATTACTTTTAAGCCTGATCATACTGTGTTAGAGAATCCATAAGGGCCTCATGCATGTAGTAAGCTATTTCAACTTTCAGTAGTCATTAGTTGCTTATAGTTCCTGTATGTCTGACAGAGAACTCATATTCAGAATATACAAACTCAAGAATAAAGTGTCAAAAAAACAATTAAGCCAATTAAACTCAATTAAAAATAGGCTAGGGATCTATGAGTTCTTCATAAAATAGACTTTATTTTTGTGTGTTTGTTTTTGGGTTTTGTTTGTTTTTAGTTTTTTATATTGTAAGCAGATTCTTCCCTCAGGCAATACATCCCAAACACAGTTTCTCTTCTCTCTTAACTCCCTCTCATTTCCCCTCTCCCCCAGAGCCAATCCTCCCTCCATTCTTCTTCAACAGCTAGACAGGACAAAACAAAATACAATAAAACAAGACAAAACTCCTCATATCAAGGCTGGTCAAGGCAAATCAATAGGAGGAAAAGAGTACTAAGATCAGACAATAGAGTCAGAGACACACCTGCTGCCACTGATAGGAATTCAACACTAAGTTAACAGCCATAGTATATATGCAGAGGATCGTGCTGATTGTGGCTTGAGCTTCTGTGAGCCCATGTGAGCCCTTTTTAGTTGATTCTGGTGTGTTATCCTGATGTCCTCTGTCCCCTCTGAATCCTATAATCTTTATGCCCCTTGTTCTGCCAGATTTCATAAGATTTCCTAAGGGAAGGAACCCAACGAAGACATGTAATTTAGACTTTTGCTGCATAATGGCTGGTTGTGGGTCTCTGTACAGGAGCCTGTTGCCAGAGAGAGCCTCTCTGATAATAAGAATGTACTCACTGTTCTAACAATCTATAAGTATAGCAGAATATCATTAGGAATCATTTAACTGCTTTTTTCCCCACGTTTGTTTGGTTCTATCCTAGGTCTCTGGGATATGCAATCTTCAGTTCCTGACCATCCAGTCAGTGTAGGGCATGAGGTGTGCCTCGGGCTAAATCAAACATTGATTGACTTCTTCACATGTTCTAGATTACCAATGCCCCACCATGTTTTGAATGCCTAATGGATTGTCAAGTGCTTTATGGTTTAATTGATGTCCAAGTTTCTCCTTCCATAGATTGGAGAGTACCTTCTCACACAAAAATGACTAGAATGTACGGGTGAAGTATGACTTGAATATATGAAAAAGAATGTCAGAAAAGTGCTGGTAAATGTGACATATAGACTCATTTTAAGAAAGATGGGCATGTCTTTTCGATCTATATCTATACATCTATATCTATCTACCTATCTGCCCGAATATGATTGAAGATATTATTTTGAATTAAGTCTAAACATAATAGTTATAACTATAAGAATTAAAGAAGTGGCACAAATATAGGGTGATATTATATTTTGTGGAATGTATTTATATAGAGAGAAATACTAGTTGTAATGTTCTAAATAAAATACTGTGACTCTTCATTTGAATAGAAGTTTAGGCAGAAATAATGATAAAATATTTATTATCATAGAGAAAATTTTAATGTAATTTACTCAAGAATGTTATATATAGAAGTCATGACTAGATTTCTACTAGATATTATATTATGTATTAGAAGATCAAAACATATAAATGATGATATGATAAATCATATTTTCATTTTCACTTAACTTCTAGACTGTATGCTGAAGAATCTGAAGAAATGAATATCAGTTCTGAGGATCACTTCCGTTCTCAAAACCATGCAAATCACACTCTCTGTAAAATGGAAAACTATTTGAAAGAGAAAAAATTATGTGATGTGCTACTTATTGCTGGACCTCTCAAGATTCCAGCTCATCGGAAAATATTATTATGCAGAAAGAACATGCAAAGAAAGCAAGTATGAATGAGAATGAATCTGTAAACTTATTACAAATTATATGGTGGAGAAATCATTTTTACTTTGAAATATTGAAAAATTATTATTATTTGTCCAACATCTAATAGAGCCAAAATTGGAGATTTCATGATGCATACAAAATACCAAAACCTCTGAAAAGATCAGTCTACTTAACTGCCCTTTTTAACGTTAGTAAAATTTAATTAAATATTAAATAAAATTTCATAAATTTAATACAAAATATTGTGATATTTTATATGTATGTTTTGAGACAGACTCTTTTTATGTATCCCAGTCTGGCCTGGATACTGCTATGCCAGACCAAGCTGACCTAGAACACACAGAATCTGCCTAGCTCTGCCTCCCTGGAATTAATGGCATTGGCAACCATGCATGGGAATTTTGAACATTTAATGAAGAAAGCAGACTTACACGTTTCACAAACTTATTGAAAACATTGTACGATTATGTGTGATGTTGTTGATTGATATAGTATTGATTTAACTTTTATCATTCTAGATTGGTTCTCAGTGCTGTGTCTGACTACTTTGCTGCAATATTTACTAATGACGTGCTTGAAGCCAGACAAGAAGAGGTCAAGATGGAAGGAGTAGATCCAAATGCACTTAATTCTTTGGTGCAGTATGCTTATACAGGTAAGCTCTCATTGTGAATTAACTAACATTAACATTACATTATACATCCTGCATTATAGTTATTTGTGTTCTACAAAAAATGGAAATATACCATTTAGCAATTAAAGAATTTTCCAAAACTGGAAAATTTAAAAGGACAAAATAATAAATTAATCACCATAATGTAAAATATAATGAATGTGCTGTTAAATATTGCTACCATGAGAGGAGAGGGATATTTTAACATAAAATGCAAGATTGTGTCTTATATGGGTTAAAAGTGTGGAGTAATTTATCTATATTAATTTTAATTATGTGTGCTTGGTGGGGAGGCTATGTGCATCTGATTGTAATTGCCATTGGGGAAAGAAGAGATTATTGGATCATGGAGCTGGAGTTAAGGGCATTTGTAAGTTCTTGAACATGGATAATTGATTAAAAAGTAGAACAGTTATAAATATAAATACAGCTTCCATCTGATTACAATAGAGTAAAACCAGAAATTGATAAAAGAAACACAGAAACTATACAAACACATGAGCATTTACCACCATTTTATTAAATAATTAATGTATCATCACAGACATTAAGAAGGAAATTAAAATATTCCTACCTTCAAAGGAAAATGGAAACATAACATACTAGAAACAGTGGGATAAAACAAAAGAAGCTTAAATAGCAAAAAATTTATCACTATAAGTGTTTATATAAAATGTTAGAGAAATCTCAAACAACATAATGAACATACAGGCATCACAACAATTTAATTTCATTATTAGTAATCATAAATCAAATATTAAGATCAGGACATACATTAAATAGATAAGAATAATACAGAAGGAAGGATCACTTAAACAAAGAGTTGGGTCTTTTAAAATAAACAAGTTTAATAAGATTAGAAAGGAAAGGGAAAACATCACAGGAGAGACAATCAAACTCAGAGAATCATTAGAATGTAATTCGAAGATAAATATTTCAATAAATTGGAAAAACTAAAAGAGATGGATAAATTGTAAGCACACATCAATTACTAAAATTAAGTCGAGTTAATGTAAAAAATACTTTAATAAATCTAAAACATGTAATGAAAAAAGTGCTACACAATAAATACCAAAACTGAATACAAAACAAAAATATAGTTATAGGTCAAACTCCATAATCAACATGGATGAAGACAGTCTTGATAACACTTCAAGTTCAACAACATATAAAAATGTCAATTGCCATGATCAAGTTGACCCAAGGGAAGAATATGAGCATACAAAAATGTGTCTGCAAGTGATAAATTAGTTATTGTTAGTCATAATTATAAATAATGAAAAATAGGAATATTTATAACATAAAGAAACATATAGATTAGTTAGATAATATGGACTGTTAATAGGCAATGAAATATGAAGGAAACACTGATAGATTCTCCTGTTGAAATGAATTTTTAAATGCCATGCTAGTTGAAGGAAAACTACTATAAAGATTACTTATTATAGGATTCCATAGTTGCAAGTGGATAAGAGAAGTAAGCAGTTTAAAAATATAGGATGTGATTACACTTTCCTTTTTCTAAGATACTAGTAGTTCTCCCCAGTTTAAGAAATAACACAATAAAATATGTAGACTTACTGCACACCTTGGAAAATATTATAGCTCAGAGGTTAAGAGCACTGACTGCTCTCTTCCAGAGGTCCTGAGTTCAATTCCAAGCAACCACATGGTGGCTCACAACCATCTGTAATGAGATCTGGTGCCACTGGCCTGCAGGCATACACGGAGGCTGAACACTGTGTACAAAATAAATAAATCTTTTAAAAAAAGAAAATACTAACTTACCATTCTTTATAATATTCACTATTCATTTGCTGCATTCATTTTGTTTAATCTTGTCTGACACCCTTTTTCCTTCTTTATTTGTATGTACACAAAGACTCCTTTGTATTTCTGTCTTAAACCATATTCTGAAAGAAGCTGCTGAACAACAAAAGACATAGTTGCCCTATAAAGGCCAACTAAAATGTCGCCTAAAATATCTGTTTCTTATTTTATGTGATATCTAATTGTTCTCTACTAATTGAAACCATTTAGGTGTGCTTCAACTGAGAGAAGACACCATTGAAAACTTGCTGGCTGCAGCATGTCTCTTACAACTGACTCAAGTCATTGATGTCTGCTGCAATTTCCTCATAAAGCAACTTCATCCTTCAAACTGCCTAGGGATTCGCTCATTTGGAGATGCCCAGGGCTGTGTGGAGCTCCAGAATGTGGCACATAAGTACACCATGGTAAAATAATTTGTTTCAAAGTAACTGATTGTAATAATATATACTTTCTCTGATGAAACTTAAAGCCTATATAAACTTACATAATTTTCAGGTAACTTGTACATTATCAATAATTAAAAAAAATTTGTTCAGGTGAATAATACTCAAAATTTTTACTTTAGAACTAAAATGGAATTTTACTAAATCTCTAAACTACAGAGAAATAAAATACTGCTCATTCTTAAATTGAACAACTCTGTATTTCTAATTGAATATACAGCATTGAAAGCATTACCTGCATAACCTTTTCAATAATTAGCAACTTATTTTGTAAAATTTGACAAATTAGGATTTCTATTAAAATTATATATTATTCAATTTTAAAAAGTGAATACAACTCAGTTTATAGATTGTTTGTTTATCATGTATAACGTAGTTGGTATAATTCCCAGGCCTTTTATAAACTGGGCATGGTGGTTAATATCTGCATTCTAGCCTGGTTGCTAGAGATAAGAGCATCAGGAGTTCTAGGTGATCCTCAACTCCACAAAGAATCTCAGGTCTGCCTGGGATACATGAGACTGTTTCAGAAAAGGAGCAGAAGAAAAGAAAAGTATAAGTGGCAATATTTCATCAAGATTAGTAACTCAAATGATTTTATTGAATTGGCTTTAAGTATTAGAAAAACCTTGTAGTTTGGAGAAAATAATTTTCAGTTCACTCATTGAACTTTAGAAATTACTCTTAACTCTACCAAGTTATAATGAATCAATTGATTATCAGTAGATAATACTTATTTAGAATTTGTACAGAGTAAAACCATCATTATTTATTTAGATAACAATCAAATGAAATACGGAATATAAAGGGGAAGGGAAAATAGGATATTAGATATAAAATAAAATCTTTACTATGGTTACTAATATTTCTCTGATAAAATGAAAACAAACTAACCTCTAATGCAGTAGATTAACAGAGAGGTGGATCTCTTTGAAACTTTATCAAAAGATAAATACTTTGAACAAATTAAATTGCACCAGACATTTGGGTTTTTAGAAAGAGGTAATTGCATATTAATGAAAAATAGAACACTCAGTGTAAAATTATTCAATAGAAATAATAGATTGTAGGATAAATTCATATATACCGATATGCATATATATACAAACACTCCTCTCAAACTCAAAACATAAAATATGAGTTGTCTAAGTTTTGTATAAATTTTATTCTTCTTTTTCCCCACCCCTACCAGCTCATTGCTTAGAATTTGAAGTTTCATATACAGTCCTGAAACAATACCAGAATGTGGAGAATCACATAATCACAGACTAACATTGTAAATATGTTATTTAGTCATGCTATTTATATTCCTGTGTCATAAATATGGATGCCATATAATCTAAAAGAACAGCAGTTATGTAGTTCAAAGTTTAATCCTACTATAAAAGCCAATCATGAAAACTTCCTGTTAAATTGCTTAAATTCTTGAAGTAAGTATTAACAGTTTCCTGTCTGGTATCTTACTCTTGCAGACAAAATGCACTCTGATAAACAACTTGTATTATTTTTTGCTGCTCAAAATGAACTTGCCTTCCTCTTTAATTGTGGTATCCAAACTGAGTGTCAAAGCAAGATGTCCATAAATACGCAATAGAGCTTTGTCCCTTAACACCCTTTTCAATAATATTAGTATCTATTTAGAATATAATAAAATTAGAAAAAAAAATACTTCTTATAATATGTTTACAATTCTGTATTGATAGTATTTGAATGCAAATAATTACTTTCTAAAAATACTGTTAGGCAAATTAGGTTATTGTGGCTATGAAATATTATCAAAATATCTCTTACATTTTAAGAAACTATAGCTTTCCTGGACCTCAAAGCCAGTTATTAGTGCACCTTGAAGTCACTTCAGACTTAAAACTGTTTCATGTTATGTACTCAAATTGTCTGCTTAGCTTGACTTGAACAGAAAAAAAGTGACAACCTTACTTCCTTTGGATTTCCCACATAATTAACTTTCACAGCCTAAGATAATCAATGCATACCTACAATTTGAAATTATATACTCTTCCTTGACACTGACATAGACTATTCTTGTGTATTGTTTGGTGAAAGCAGCAAATACAGAAGTTGAAAACAACTTTTTAAAATCTAACATAAGGATTGAAAGAAGTGGATTTTGGTTGGCCAACAATGATGTTTGTTGCTTGAATAAGTTGGGATTAGCTGGAATCAGTGACTTACTACCTTATAAAATTCTGTTATAAAGGTTCCTGTAAGGTATGCCATTCCTTCTCCATGTGATATTTTCTATGCTGTTCGATAAATACAAAGCAAATTCTTTATCAGTGACAGATTCAGAGACTCACATATATAAACACAGAAGGACATATACATATTCAGGAACAGATTCAGACTCATACAACAAACAGAAGAGAACACACAGGGAGCATTAAGTAGAGAATTCAAATCTGGACTCACTCTTGGTTAAATGACTCACAGGGTAAATGTTTAGTTTTTTTTTTCCTTAATGAGACACCAATGCATTATTGGTGATGCATAGAGTTAATCACTAATGAACGAAAATGATAGTTGAGTTGATAGAATAAGGAAAACAGCTTGCCTGCCCTGATTTGGGTGTTTTTTATCTACAATCAGCTTTGGATACATACTGCAAGCCTACACATAAAAGTTTCTATCTCAGTCATATAAATAATCAAAATATAATAAACAAAATATTTAGTTTATAAATATTACATGAAGTTAAGTACAGATCATAAATGGTTAACAAAAACATAAAAGAAAATCTTGCTGGAAGTTGCAAAAAAAAGGGCATCAGGTTCAAAATAATTTCAAAATAAAACCATTTAAAATGATTACTTGTCTATAGTTTGAAGTTCCACAGTGGCATGCACAGATGTTTGAAGATAATATATTTACTTTTATTTACACTAGTCTATATTGCTCATCAGTTTTCAATACACATATGAAGCAATGACTCTGAAATGATAGCAATTGGACCACAAAGTAAATGTATGCTTGTGTATTAAATATCACATTAACATATCTTATCATTACTTTAACTCTCAATAAAGACATTTTAAATAAACTTCTCTATGATACAATTTGGCACTGAGTAAGTTTTACACACAGAAATACTCTGTCTCTTGTTTTTATTTAAGGAATAAATACAGTTTCAGAATTAACACCTGATGACCATGACAGTTAATCATACATTTAATTTTTTATTTTTTAAAATTTCATTTTACCTTCCAACTACAGTTTTCTCTCTACCCCTCTTCCCACCTTCCTTGTTTCACCCATAACCCATCCCACAGGGCAAGACCTCCCATGGGGAGTCAACAAAATCTGGCACATAAAGTTGAGGCAGGACCAAGACCCCCTCCCCCCCGTATTAAGGCTTCATATGGCATGCCATCATAAGGAATGGCTCCAACAAGCTAGCTCATGAACCAACGATAGATAGATCCTAGTTCCACTGCTAGGGGCCCCTCAAATAAACTAAGCTACATAGCTATCTTCTATATGCAGAGGGCCTCGTTGAGTTTTAAAGAGGCTCCACAGCCATTGGTCTAGAGTTCATGAGTTCTCATGAGCTTGGTTCAGCTGTCTCTATAGATTTCCCCTTAATGATTTTGACCTCCTTTGCTCATATATCCCCTCCTCCCTCCTTTCAACTGGATTCCTGGAGCTTGGCCTGGTGTTTGGTCAATTTTTTCTTAACATTTCTACAAATACTCTGTAACCTCGAAAAGACAGTTGTATAGTTGAGCAAAATAAAATAAACATGATTTCAGATATTAATGTTAGAGTTCAGAGTTTTCAACTCATATAGGAGATCAAACAATGTGTACTGCATATCTGTCATTAGAGTAATCCATCTCTTCATAAGATCCTATAGTGATTACTTATCACTTGTAAAATTACTAATTAATGTGTGAAAGAACATTGCAATAATTTTCTATAAATGGGAGAAATGTTAGCCAGAGTGGTATGCGACAGAAGAACATCAGTTTTGTTTCAACTGATTGCCTTAGTCACAAAAGGGTTCATTGTTTAAATAGGCAAACTGATTTAGGAATTTAAGCCACCAGCATTTCAATATGGAATTATCAGCCTTCTTTTTTTACTTCATGAAAAAATTTGATATTTATTCTCCTTTTGCTAATGATTAAAGTAGAAGAAGTAATGTAATTATTTGATTTAGTTAAAACTCCAAATTATTTATAATCTGTTTTAAGATTCTCCAGAATATCTGTTTTTATCAAAACTCAATCTAGAAAGAAAATGCTTAATTATGTTTCAAGAGTATAAGAGTTTATATACTTAAAAAGATTGACACATTCAATTATATAAATATTTGAAATAATCCATGTTAATAATATGTATTTAAGAACTAGAAATTATGGGTGTGCTTTAATGAAAAATTGAAACATAGCTACTTATACTTTGATATTAGATTAAATATATATGGCAATTGCAAATGGAAACTTGAAATTACATACAGTAAAATGTGTGTTCTGATCTTTATGGAAATTAACAAAATAAAATACATTGAACTCTTATTTTATTAAACAGATTCTCAACTACTTTATCACAAGACATTGTATTTTTTTGTAGGAACATTTCATTGATGTAGTAAAGAATCAAGAATTCCTTCTGGTTCCAGCTAATGAAATATCAAAACTTCTGTGTAGTGATGACATTAATGTGCTTGATGAAGAAACAATTTTCCATGCTCTTATGCAGTGGGTAGGTTATGATGTTCAGACTAGGCAACGAGATCTGGCGAAGCTGCTTTCTTATATCAGACTGCCATTACTTTCACCACAGGTATGGAAATTTATTAAGGTAATGTAAATTGGATTTCTAAATTACCGCTAGGCAGCAGACCAGTCGTTATCCATCCAGTTTTACAAAGAATATCTAATAATGGTGTATACAGGAATCATTTCATAGAACAACATACTCTTCAATTGAAATTATTAATAATGGAGAAAAAGGAACATAGTTGAAAATAATAGCCTACAGATGATCCTAAACATCATAATATACATCAGTTTCAGTTTCATCCTTTGTCAGACAGCATTATAGCAAACAAGGAAAATGATTGAGGCTCCTTTCCTGATTCCACGCACCTTCTAAGCAAAGTGGTTAATAATCAAGAGAGCGCTTCATGTAAGGGGATTTAGGAGGAGTTAGATACAGGATATTACCTACAAACATGGGCAAATATCTCCTGTAATTGAAAACAAGCTCCTGTCCTTTCAGGTGCACTCATTATAATGGTATTCTCATTATGTGTACTAAACTAAAGGATTACAGAAAACGATTCTAAAAATAAATGTCCTTAGTTAAGACCTAAGATTGGCTCATATGTTGTTCAGGGTCTTTGTTTGCTTTCTTTTGTTTTGGGGGGTTCTTTTTGTTTGTTTGTTTGATTTTGTTTTTTTGAGATAGGGATTCTCTGTAGCTTTGGAGCCTGTCCTGGAACTATCTCTTGTAGACCAGGCTGACCACGAACTCATAGAGATTTGCCTTCTCTGCTTCCTGAATGCTATGATTAAAGATGTGCACCGTGACTGCCTAGCATGTTGTTCAGTTTTAACATGAATTTTTCCTCAAATGCAGTGCAGGCCTATTATTGCAACATTTGTGTTAATAACAATTTATTAATTGTAAACTAATCTTATAGTACGTGTGATTTATACAATATAGAAAAGCACATTGCTCATATGAGTTTCATGTTTATTGAATCTGGCTAAAGTGCCACAAATCATTTACTATAAAAAGAAAAATAGGTCTTGTAAAATTAATATAAAATTCATACATTTTATAACATATTTCCCAATTAAATGTTAATATTGAAAAACATATGTTAATGTATTGATAATTTCTCTCTTAGTTTTCACCTGTTACTTATTTGTATGTGATTGCATAAGACATTATTATCAAACCAAACAATAGAAAAAATGTAGTTTCTAAGGTAGCTGTTATTCCCAATCAAATAAAGTGAAAAATGCTTACTTGACTTTTTTTTTATTTTTAAATCTATATACAATGCAATTAAGGTTTCCCTAATGATATTTCATTCATATGAATCTATTATAGTTTATTGATATTCAGCTTACTGTCACATCCCATGTCCTCATCTTGCCTTCCTTTTATTCTCTCACAAATAAGCACATCATGAAAGTAGAAGAGACGCATACATATAACTAAATTTAGATTTTGTACATGCATGGGAAAGGTGTTGTCTTTCTGAATAGTTTATTTTTGTCGAGAATGGTCTTAATTTACTTGATTAGCTTGTAGATACTATTGGCTAGTTCCTCTTTATGAAGCACTGTTTTATTTCATACTGTTGGTAGGCATCTATATTTATTTATATATTTATATAATATATATATATATATTTATTGCATATCATAGATTTTTGAATAGTGTTAAAATAATCATGGGTGCACAGGTAACTATCTACATAGGATGCTGAATTATATTTCTTTGTAAATATTTCTCAGATTATTTAGTTAGATTATTTAGTAGCTCTATTGTAGATTTTTGAGGAAACTTCCTACTAGTTTCTTTTTACCAGATTACTTTTGAGACAGCAGTATATAAGGTTTTATTTCTCCTTATATTATATCATTATGTTACTCAATGGAGTTTTTTAAATTTTATATCTTTTTAAATTTTTTTCTTATAGGTGTATATTAATATGGAATTTCAGTGCATTCTTATTTTGTGTTTTCCTGATGTCTAAGGATGTTGAAACTTATTTACATATGTTGAATGACCATTTGTGTTTTTTAATTTGAGGATTATCTGTTCTGTTCAATTCATTTGTCCTTTTATTGATTTAATAAATTTGTAGTAGGAAGCTGCTTGTTGTTTCCTGGCCACCCAGACTCCTGAAATAATCAGAGAATAATATTATTTGCAATACTGTGTGACCAATAGCTTAAGTGTATTTCTGACTAACTCATATCTTAAATTAATCCATTTCCACTAATCTGTGTATTGTCACGAGGCTGTGGCTTGCTGGGTAAAGTTCCAGCATCTCTCTCTGCTGGGCTACATGGCTTCTCACTGACTCCACCTTCTTTCTCCCAGCATTCAGTTTAGTTTTCCCGGCCTAGCTAAGTTCTGCCTTGCACAGGCATCAGACAGTTTCTTTTTTCATTAACCAATAAAAGCAACATATACAAAAGGACTTCCTACATCCGTATTTGATATTTAAATCAAATTTCTGTTGATTCTAGATATTAACACTTTCTAAAATCACATTTATTTTTATTGTTTTAATTTGATTTTAAATTCCCACCACAGTTCTCCTCCCACCTCCCCCTTGCCTCCCCAACAGCCCAATCCCCATTCAGTCTACCCATTGGGTAAGGAGGCTACAATGGGGAATCAACAAAATATGGCACAGTAAGGTGGAGCAGGACAAAGTTCCCCCCCCCCCCTGCATTAAGGATGAGCATGGGGTCCCATCATAGACAATGGGCTCTAACAAGCTAGCTCATGCACCAGGGAGAGATCCTGGTCCTATTGTCAAGAGCCTCTCAAATACTACAATTTTCATCACTGTCTCCCATATACTTGGAGGGAATAGTTTGATCCCATGGAGGCTCCACAGCTGTCGGTCTAGAGTTCATAAATTTCCACAAGCTTGAACCAGCTGTCTGTATATTTCTCCATCATGATCTTGCTCATATATTACCTCCTCCCTCACTTTTATTTTATTTCTGGAGCTCGCCATGGTGCTTGGCTGTGGTTCTCTGCATATGTTTCCCCTGGTTACTGGATGAAAGCTCTACGATAATAGTTCGGCTATTCACCAATCTAATTACATGGTCAGACCAGGTTGGTCACCCACTCCATATTTCTTGCAGTCTTAGCTTGGGTCATCCTTGAAGATTCTTGGGAATTTCCTAGGAGGAGGCTTCTCCCTAACCCCATAGTGACTCTCTATTAAGATATCTCTTTCATTGCTCTCCCACTCCATCCCTCTCCTTAATTGATCATCCTATTCCCTTACATTCTCCTCTCCCATCTCCTTTTCTTTACCACAACCTTTCCCCCAATTTATACAGGTGATCTCATTTAATTCCTCTTCCCAGGGCAATCCATGTACCTCTCTTAGGGTCTTCCTTGTTACCTAGCTTCTCTGGCACTATGGATTATAGTCTGGTTATTCTTTGCTATACATGTAATATCTACTTATGTGTGAGTACATACTGCGTTTGCCTTTCTGAGTCTGGGTTACCTCACTCAGGATTTCTTGTTCTAGTTCTATTTGTCTGCAAATTTCACAATGTCACTTCTTTTTTCAGCTGAGTAGAGTTCAATTGTGTCAATGTACTACATTTTCTTTTCATTCATTCTTTCTTCAATAGAGGGCCATCTAGGTTGTTCTGAGGCTTTGGCTATTAAAATAATGCTGCTGTGAACAGTAATGAGCAAGTGCCCTTGTTGTATGACTGAGCATCATTTGGTTATATGTCTAGGAATGGTATATCTGGGTCTAGAGGTAGATTGATTCCCAATTTTCTAAGAAACTGCTATAGTGGTTTTCAAAGTGGCTGTACAAGTTTGTACTCCAACCAACAGTGGAGGAGTATTCCCCTGACTCTGTATTCTATTAACCAATTAAAATATATAGTTGGCAAAGAATTTTCTTGCATTCTGTAGAGGTTTGTAAATTTGTTTTCATGATGCTTTTTATTTATTTCACATGATCTTGTTCTTCATCTGTGATCCATTTAGATATGATTGGTACAATGTAAGAGGCAGATAATTTATACTTGCTCTTAAGCTTGCCGATACCCGATTTTCCTCCCTCCATCTGACAAAGAGAAGATCTTTGCTACTGATAGTTTTTATCAAAAGTTAGGTGTTGGCGGTGGATTCTGTCCTGCTTAGTGCCATAGCTAGTCATTCCCAAAAAATAGACAGAGGCCTACATTAATTATAAACTGGTTGGCCTATTAGCTCATGCTTTCTTATTAACTAACTCTTACATCATTCATTAATCTATTATCTTGTCTGTATTTATCACATGGCTTGGTACCTTTTGTCAATGTGGCATTCTCATCTTTCTTCCTTTATGTCTGGGTGATGACTACAGACTGAGCCTTTCCTCTTCACAGAATTCTCCTGTTCTTATTGCCCACCTATACTTTCTATCTGAATACTGGCCAATTGGAATTTTCTTAAATCAATACAGGTGACAATTCTTTATAGGGTATAAGACCACTGCCCCACAGTACTTTCCCCCTTTTTTTTCAAAGCAAAAACTCTGAATCTAATCTCCTTTGTTTAGCTTTCTCCATGACCATTATTCATAACAACTTTTAACTAAAACTCTTAAAAAAAGAGAGAAAGAAACATCCATAATTCATTTTTAGGGAATGTGGGCAGAGTTTTCTATGATACTTCCTGCTGATTAGAGATGCTGATAATCTTATAGGGACCTAAAGAAAATTTAGAGTTATGGGCAAGTCCTGAATGGACTATTCTGTGAGGCTTGATCATCTCAGCCAGCAGTATTGAGGCTGTTCTGGATGTAAAACTCAGACATCTGGGCCAAATGCCATTATTGGATATTTCTCAGGGGGTCTTCCTTGATCAAACCTGATTTTTCTAAGCCCAGAATGAATCCACAGCCTTTCATTTTCTGTGGAAACAAAAACAAAACCTCTTCTCCAAACTAACATATCTTTTTACTTAAATTTTGAAGTCAAGGCATTTTTCAAAATTTATATGCCATGTTAATCCAGCAGCATTTATAACCAAATGTCTTTTAGCAGGTGTTGATTCATCCTCAGCCATCAAACAACTCAAAGACAGTACAATAACATACACTACCCAGATTTTCTGTGTATTTTCCATCTTTACATGGCTTTATTTTGAACTCTATTTCTTTTCCTTTTCTTTTTAATTTCTGTTTTTATGAGACAGGGTTTCTTTGTATATCTTTGGTTGTCCTGGAATTCACTGTGGAGACCATGCTGTCCTTGATCTCACAGAGACCTGTCTGCTGCCTCTGCTTCCCAAGTGCTGGGATTAAAGGTGTGTGTGCCACCACTTCTCTCTCTCTCTCTCTCTCTCTCTCTCTCTCCCTCTCTCTGTCTCTCTCTCTCTTTCAACTTTATCCTTTTATTTTTCACTCCCAAGCCTACATATATTTTTAAACACACTGTAAACTATTTAGAGGTTGGTTTTGTTTTGTTTTATCGGAATCTATCTTTACTCTATATCTCTCCTTTTATGACCGCATGAGTGTTTAATTTGCTAAGTGGTATGGATAGGATTAAAGCTGTAGATTTGACAACTGGATCCACCCCATTCCTTAGTTTTCTGATAGTCTATCTTCATGGTGAAGCTGGAGCCATGTTTATTGCTACAACTGTATGGTGTTTCAAGGTCCCTGGAACCACCAAGAAGCATGGTATCGGCTATCCATAAATACCATTTAATTGTTTTGTGGTGGGCTTCTTAAAAGAGCTGCAAGGTTTTACAGCTAAACCTGAGTCAGAAAGCCTCTCTTAAATGAGATACATTTTTTTTCTAGCAAATGGAGCTCACACAAGAAAATGCTGCCACCAAAATGTCATGCTTAACTCTGTTCTTTTGTCTCAAATTACTTCCCAAGATCTCTCAGGTTTTATGTGCATGTAGTTGTCCACGTTGGCAACATTTGTTGGTGAAGGTTACTGTCCGGCTTGGTGCCACAGCCATTCAGTCCCAAAGAAAACACACAGAGGCCTAAATTAATTATAAACCGGTTGGCCTATTAATTATTTTGAGGTGTGTTCCTTCTAGTCATAATTTCTTTAGGGCTGTTTATCCTGAAGTGGTGTTGAAGATCACTGAAGGCTTTTGTGGTTGTCAATATTGTTATAATATCTATTAAAATCACCTTGTGGCTTCTATTCCTAAATCTATTAACTTACTGTTTTACATATGTTGATATACATTTATTGTACCTTCTTCACATACTGAAAATGAAACATATTTAAAAATATTGTTTGTCAGTTTTCATATATTTTTAAGACCATTTGAAAATATTTTATTGAGATAATGTGTGTCTAATTTCTCTGGAAAAAATGGTTTGAATTTTTCTATTTTTTGTGTGTGTTCCTTTTTGGTTTCAGATTCAGAATAATGCTACCTTCTTTTGGTGTGATTTTTGTAGAATGATTTCTCTTTCTGCTTTATTGAATTTTCTAAGACATAGTTATGTTAGTTATTCTTTAAAGGTCTGGTAGAATTCATTAATGAACCATATTTTTTTCTTTTTTGCTGAGATACTTGGATAATGCTTGAATCTTTTGGCTCATTATTTTTATACTATTATTATCACTTTTTATAACCTCTGAATTTAATCTTAGTGGTTTCTATCTGTCTAAGAATTTACTCCTTATCATAGACTTTCCAGAATCTTTTAAATAAACATTTTGAAAGGATTCACTAACAATTCTCTGGATTTAATTTGTTTCTAATGTAGTGTTTCCTTTTTCACCTATCATCTTGTTAAATTTGGCCCTTATCTTACTATATTTCGTTGATTTTTGTTATGTTCTTCTGGTCTCCATTCCATTTTTTTCTGCAATAATCTTTGTTATTTTTTCCATCTATTGATATTGAGTTTAGTTTGTTATTAATATATTTATGGTGTCAAAGTGTATTTTAAGTTGTTTGTATTTTCTGTTTTTTTAAAGCATTAATATCCTCTTAGAACTGCTTTTGCAATCTCATACTTTCTAATGAGTCCTCTTGTTTATTAAATTATAAAATTTTATGTGCTCATTGAGAATATATATATGTATATATACATATATCATGACATAATATCAATAGCCTTTTGGGTTTTTTAAGACAATGTTTCTTCAAGTGCTTTCTTGAGCATATTGTTGATCCAAAAGATAAGACAATAATAATACCTAAAACATAACTACTCTCTCTCTCTCAAATATTTCTCAAAATTCTTAATAAAGAACAGATAGTTGAAATTCCGATTATGTAGAAAATTTCTATTTATCTAAGCATACGAAACTAGGAAAATGATTAGATTCTGTAATTTTCACAGAACAACATCAAGATATTTTCTATGAACTTTTTAGAATCTATATTTTTAGACCCTATAATTAGGTTGAATAATATATATTTTAACCTGTTCATCATATTTTTTAGACATGAAAAATCCTGGGAAGCACTTATGTATACAAAGCTCTTAAATTTAGAGCTCTTTATTTAGATTTGGTATTTTTCAGCAGGCATTAGTTTAAACTTCTCTGTATTAGAATAAGGGGATGTGTCATACCTAATCATACAACTATTGTTCTCTGAACTTTAATAATGCTTTATACGTAAAATATGTCTTATTTGAAAATTTTCTAATATTGTTAGTAATATGAAATTAGATGGGCATGTAGAGTTTCTAAGATAATTGATTATATTTTGCTGGGTAGAGGCATGGGAAATTAAGAAATATGAGTAAAGAATATGAAGACGCATAAAAATAATGAGACAGAAAACTTGGAAAGTATCAGCAGGGCATTCCAGTGACAGAAATACTGAAATTCTCTAGCGTTTATTTTTTTCACAACTTTTGTACTCATCATAAAGGGTGGGGCTGGGGCGTGGGGGTTGGTTAGGGCAGAAGCACATTTGCATATCCTGACCACCTGTCAGAACGGCATGGACTTACTAGAATGAGCTATTTTAATTTCAAAAGAACTGAGCAATCACCTTCTGACTTAGGGCATGCGACAATTATTGTCAAATCTCCAAACTTTCTGATTATCAGACAAGGTGGAAATGGGCCGGTATTTTTTGACTTACGCAATATTTCAAACAAACACTAAAGAAATAAAATATATGAACATTATAAATTTATAAAGTGTTTTTTAGAGGAAAGTTTTATAGCATAATCTTCAAACCTATTTCAAATATCATGTTTAAGAAATGCCTGCAGTTTAGTCTGGCAAATCAAAATATTCCTTCACCAGAGAACAAGTCAAATAAAACAGAACTAAAGTTAACCAGAAAAAGAATTGTCATAAAAATCTTATGGTATAAGACTAACAATTTAATCCAGCAAACTTGTTTGCTATTTCTTTTGATATACTATGCCAGTGTGGATTCAATGATACATATCAACATTCTGAAATATGTCTTTGAGTTTTCTACGGTTCCTCTTGGGAACAATATTTTACCTATATTTTGTCATAGTTATTTAGGATCCTGTAATGTATTAGGTAATGGCAATATCTATCACCCACTTTTTCTGATCTTGACTAGTAATTATTCACACACACACACACACACACACACACACACACACATATATATATATATATATACTAGCTCAATTTAAAAAAGCATATGCTTTTAGAATAGTGCTGTGATGTAATGATAAAGATACAGTACAGATGAAGGGGATAATATCTTTACAGAGTATGTTTCCATGACATCTCCAATATCCCAAATACACAAAAATATGAACTGTTTGAATTAGCCTTAAGCAGTAGATGAACGTACTTAGCATTGTGTGCTATAGCTAGTCTCTTTGATTACTTTTGACAAATATTTTTCTTGTCATTTTTCATACTTAGTATTCCATGTTATAGAAATAAACCATGTTCTTTCTATGTTGGACTCCTTATATATGTACCATGCATTGTTGCTTTCCAGTTACTAGCAGATCTGGAAAACAGTTCGATGTTTGCTGATGATCTGGAGTGTCAGAAGCTATTAATGGAAGCTATGAAGTATCATCTCTTGCCTGAGAGAAGATCTATGTTGCAAAGCCCTCGTACAAAACCTAGAAAGTCAACTGTGGGGGCATGTTATGCTGTGGGAGGTATGGATTCTGCTAAAGGTAAAAGCAACACATTAATTAATTGGGAAAATACCTCCATTTGAAAAAAAAGAAGAGAGAGATATTTCTAACAGCCTCCGCATTATAAGGAGACTATTAAATCCTTGTTAAGTAAGTGTATCAGAAGCTGAATTTTCATAAATAGGGTAGTTTGTATGATTATTTTATACCTCATTTTCCTCCTTATCTTATGGATCATCATCTGTTAATTATGAATTACTTAATTCTTAATAGATATTTTACTTTAAGAACACAATATTAGGTTTGACTATTCAGTTTTCTCTGTCAAACCTTTACAGGGAAATTTTATTTATCTATCTAGCTCTATCTATCTGTCTGTCTGTCTGTCTTTCAGTCTATCTATCTGTATCATCTTTCTTTCTATCCATGTTTCTATTTTAGAAAGAGATAAATGTATTTTCCCAAATACAATAGTGACATCTAGTTAGTTCTCTTAATTCTGCTACATGCTTAAAGACTAATTATAAAAAAATACTGAAATGTTAACTGTAAGATCCTCTGTTTGAATTGCAATATAAGGTTAATTTTATATAAATAAAACTTCCATGAAGATAAAGGAGCAGCTTCTGAAGCTATTATCCTTCCCCTTCTTGAAAAACTTCGTCTATGGCTTTATTATTTTCATGTGAATTTTTCATTTTAATGATTCTTTTGGCTAAAATAACAAAGCGAAGATTTTTTTATTATTTTATTTTACATGGAAGGGTGTTTTGTTTTCATACATGATTGCAAATGCATGTTTAGCACCCATGAGTCCAATCTCAAGAAGAATAGAAGAGACTTCAGATCCCTTGGTTTGTTTTTAGCCATCATGTGAGTTTTGGAAATAGAAACTGGGTCATGTGAGAGGGCAGCTGGTGATTTGCCAACTGAATCATCTCTCCAAACTAAAGAAATGATTTTATAATGAAGTTTATTGAAAACAAAGTGAGAATACTGATAAATCATAAGTTGAAATTTTATTTGATAGATTGAATAAATGACCTACAACTTGAAGGTTTATCCTAGTAACAATCAATTATTTCCATTTGAAATTGGAATAGATATAAGAAATATGCCAATTAATTACAAAGAATTTTTACCTAGTGAATTTTCTATTACTATAATAGGGTATCTGAATCTAAGAAATTTAAAATAATAAAAATTATGAGCTTGAGGGACAAAAAAAGTAAGAAAGTGAAAATAGCAAAGAACATATAGAAGGTAAACTTTTGTTTTTATTACTGCCCATTAATTGTAGAATAAAGTTGTTTCGCTATGATACTGTAATACATACATATAGCATAGTTTTTTTTTTTTTAAATTGCCCTCTATTGTCTTTTCTCATCTCCTGTCTGATTTTTGTTTGGTAATAGTCTGCTTTCATGATAACTAGCGGAGTATTGTGAGAGCAAAATTGATCAATTTGTGAGAGTAAATATTCATCATCTTATCAGTTCTAATGCAAAAAACCTTTAAACATTGCCATAATATAGATCAGCTTGTCAATATATAAACTCTACAAAATATATATCTAATTTAACACATTTGAAAATGAGATTATAGAGGAAATAATTTCCAAAATTCTGGAACTACTTCATATAACTAGCGTTCTTCAGAAAATAACAAATACTATAGGATACCCTAATTAATTTCAGGTTTGACAGTTTCACATTTTATTACTTTTTGATTGTCTAATTTTTCACATATTGCTTCCATAGCCTAGGCTGATTTAAAAGGTGATGGCAATCCTACTGCATCAGCCTCCCAAGTGCTGGTATTACAGACATAAATGACTATCTCTGACTTTATTGCACTGAATAGAATAATATTAACAGCTTCTTGGTACTTAAATTAAAAACTGAAGGTATTAAGTGCAAAACATAAATGCAATTATCATTTGTTGAGATTTTTTTTTTCTTTCAGTGCTGGGAATCAGTTCAGCGCTTTACTTATGCTAGGCTTATGCTCTACCTATGCACTATAAATTCTGGTTCTAGTTTGTGATATCTTTAAAAACATAATCTGCAATATAGAAACATTTCTAAGTATTGAGACTCTGTTCATTTTATTTATTAATTGTATCGCAAGCACATGTGTGTCACAGTGTGCATATGAAGGCAATTAACAGGCATCAGTTGTCTCCTTGAGATCAAACTCCAGTCATCAGGTTTAGCTGCCAGCACCTTGATCCACTGAGCCATTTCTCTGGTACAGTACAGAAATCTCTTGTGTGTGTGTTTGTTGCATTTGCTCTTTCTTATCATTTTCAAGTATTTCTTGTCTATGTTATCCTTAAATGAATAGTTTATTTTAAACAATGAAATGATTGTAAGTGTATCCAGTTTCATGTCTGATTCTAAAGATCAATGAAATAGGATCTTTTTATACCTGAACTCTCTTACCACAGTTCTGTTTTGAAGGCATGTAAACCTTTCATTTTGAGGGTCTCTATATAGAAACACCATATAAAGCTCTATGGGAAGTTGACAACTATTAGGAAAATAACAAGAACTAGTAGTATCAAGTACCTTTTGGAAATACTTCATAACTCTGACCATAATACTGGAAGAGAACTTCTATTATTTCTACTTTGGGCAATTTAAGATTTGATAATCTTGAAATGTGACTGAATAATACTTACTAGAAGTCCTTGTTCCTTTATCGCCATTGTCACAATTCTAGAAGGGTTAGCAGTAAACCCCTCTGTACTCTTTGTGGTTTCAGGTTCTTGAACAGCCAGTGTGAGCTCCTATGATCAACAATAAAACAGTACAGAATTAGATACAAAATCTAAGTAGTATGCACAAAATGTGGAAAGTGTAGCGTCTACTTACATAAATCAGTATTATATTGAAAAGCATTTATCATTACAGTGCTATATATGCCTTTTCTTATAGTATATTGTTTCAGTTGCCTTGATGAGGTTTTTTGAATCTAATTAATTCCTATTAATGTCTAGGAATATAGTACTCTATTATTTATTTTTGGTTCTAAATTATATAATAAATACAGAACTACGATTAAATACAGACAACACACAAATGTCTGAAGCTAATGCTAATGACTAGAAATTATCATAAAAGAACCATCATCAGAAACTGTAGTCAAGATCTGAGTCAAAATTTTAAATTTGAATAGTTGAATTATCAGAGATGGTGATTAAAGAAACTGAGAAAGTCTTTAAAGTTCAAAATTCTAAAGTACTTATCCAAACTTTTGTGATTGCAATCGAGAAGTTAAATAAAATCTTACCTTGTGTAGTTAGCCTACTACGCTGGATATCGAGATATTTCTAGTTCATTTTTCTATGATAGCTAATGTAGCCTTGTCTAATTTCCTAACCTATTACCTTTCCAATGGTATCTATATTTTCTTAATAATTAGTATAGCTTAATTTTGAATTCCAATATAAATTGGCTATGATAATTTTCACTGAATAAACCAACATTAAAACAAATCAGGAGAATTAAAAGAATGATTTCTGAAAATTGTAATAAATAAAAACAAAACATTCTCAGAAATGTGTATTCGAAATCATGTAGGAATTTGTATGTATTTAAGTTTAACTGTATCATCTAAATATTTGTAGTGCAGAAAAGATGACCTAAATCAACATAAATTAGCTATAGAGACAATATAACCTCCACCTAAATTTTTGCCTTTATATGCTCTTAGACCATAGCCTTACAGCTGTCAATAACAACACTGCAAATGTTAACTTTATTTTCATTGTTACAAACTAATTTTCCTACAAATCCACCAGTAAAGAACATGTGGGAAGTGTTTTGCTTGTCCCTCTGATAAACTATAGGAATTAATACCAATTAAGTCTACTTTAGTTTTTTCATTATACTCATAGCCATTGTGATGAATCAGCCTTCACTGAAAATGCTCAGCAGCAACATTGAGTAAATTACAAAATGCAGTGTTTATAGAAGTAAAAATTCATTAAAATATTAGTTTAGAATTTACTATTTCACTGGTGAGAATATACTACTTCACTAAATTGATATTTCAAAAGTATAACTTAAAATTTTCATCAATGAAGTAATTCTTTAGAATTCTATAACTTCAGCTGCAATTCTTCACATAAACACCATGAAAATTTTGGAGAAATAATGCCAAAACCATATGTGAAATGAATTGTAATTCATAATTATTTAGTCCTCCCTCTAATGTTTAATTCATTTAAAATAATTTTCAACGCACATATACATCTATAAACATACAACAGAAAACCCTTACATTGTAGAAAATATAAAGAAAATAATTATTAGCATAATTAAAATTTCAGTTCACTGGCTTTAGTAAGCTATTGAAGGAATTATTAATTCATCTCATATTTTATATAAATATGCACTAAAATAACTAAGACACGAGCTTTTTCATAATATATATATTTATATTTTCATAATATATATATATATATATATATACCATGTATTGGTACTACTGTAATTGCCCACAATTTTATTTCATGTATTATTTAATATTATCATTAAATTCATATTTTGATGTCAAAACCAAATACACTACTTTCTGCTCAGGGTTCCAGTTTAATTTAAAAGCAGTGGAACTATCACTCCTTGCCTTATATATCTGTTAGTACTGTGACATGAGCTAGTTAAATTAATTTCAACTCTCTTTCCTGATGTTATGTTGTGAGTTAGAACACATAATATTAAATAACCACACTTATTGTTTAATTTTGTTTTTATTATTGCTAATTACATCTTTAACAGGTACTACTACAATTGAGAAGTATGACCTCAGAACCAACAGTTGGCTCCATATTGGCACTATGAGTGGTCGTAGACTTCAGTTTGGAGTTGCAGTTGTTGATAATAAACTTTATGTTGTGGGAGGAAGAGATGGTTTAAAAACGTTGAATACTGTAGAATGTTTTAATCCAGTTACCAAAACCTGGGTTGTGATGCCTCCTATGTCAACACATAGACATGGGCTTGGTAAGATATTTAATGCTATATAATTTTTCAAAAATATGTAGGAAAACTTTTCATACTAGATCAAGGAGCACTTTACAAGGAGATATTCCAAGAATCACAGTGGCTTAAAGGTTCTGGGAAAGTTAAGCAAACTTGAAATGCTCATGGAAATCTTTAATTGTAACATAATGTTATATTTTAATTCTATGTCCCTTCTACCAACATTTGAAAGGGTTCCATTTCAGAGAAGATGTTAATTTTCTGAAGGTCTATTTTATGGAGAATATAAAATGCAACAGAACACTTCCCTCAAGCTCAGTTGGGAGTAAAATTTTTGACAATGGTAAAGTATTATAAGCTCTTGTCAGAAAATTATGCCTCTGCACAACAAGCAAATTTGCATTCACTAAGATATTAAGATATTTTTGAATGCAAATACAGGATAAATATATTTATGTTTAGTACTTTTGCTGATCAGAACTCTAAAGCATAATTAAGGCAGAGGTCTCTACACAATTTATGGATAAGTAATGTTGTGTAGAATATTGGAAAACATTAATTCTCTTGAATATATATCAAGGTACGTTGATTTCTCTATACTATGTTCTATGTGCTTAAATATTATGGTATCTGAAAAAATGAAGTATTTGGCATTTTTTACAAAGTACGCTTTTATGATTTCAAAAAATATATGTGTAAGCAAATGTATCTATATGTGGGCTTACATACATGCAAATGGTGCCTTGGAGATCAGAAGAAAGTATCAGATCTATTGAAGCCAGAATTGCAGGCATTTGAGAACTGCCAGACATGAGTGCCATAACTGAACTCATCCAGTTCTTGGCAAGATCACAATAGACTTTCATATGGTACTATGGTACTACGTGTCAGATCCAGGACTGGAATTTTCTCACCATTTGTTTTGTTAAATTGTTTCTGTTAAATCATACACAATGTAGTTATTATCTGTTATATCATTATAATTCTTATGCATGTACATGTCCTGAAAAGATATAAATGCAAGCTTTAAAAATGCAATCTAACACATGTTACAAATCACATATGTGAGAAGAATGTACAAAAAGCAATGAGAATCTGATTATTGATGTCTTATCATGAAATATAGTGGTCAGGGGAAGTTTTTCTACGATAATAATCCCATATTTAGCCTCATATGTAATCAATTAATGACTCACATGGGCAGAAAACTATTTCAGATACAAAATAGTTCTTAAAGCAGTTTGTTGCTTCATAAGGCATAGGTAAATGACCCTTTATACTATGCTATCCTTTAGGTGTAGCGACACTTGAAGGACCAATGTATGCTGTTGGAGGTCACGATGGATGGAGTTATCTAAATACTGTAGAAAGATGGGATCCTGATGGACGTCAATGGAATTATGTGGCCAGCATGTCAACTCCTAGAAGCACGGTTGGAGTTGTTGCACTAAATAACAAGTAAACTTAAATATACAAGCTCTTTGTTACCAGACCATGTTGTGCAGTTTCTTTGTTTTGATCATCAGTCAGTAAACATTATACGTTATCAGATCATCCTTATTAGCAATTATAAAAGTCATTTGGTGCCAGGCGATGGTGGCGCACGCCTTTAATCCCAGCACTCGAGAGGCAGAGGTAGGCGGATCTCTGTGAGTTCGAGACCAGCCTGGTCTACAGAGCTAGTTCCAGGACAGGCTCCAAAGCCACAGAGAAACCCTGTCTCGAAAAACCAAAAAAAAAAAAAAAAAAAAAAAAAAAAGTCATTTGGTGGAATCTTCCTTTCTTTGTGATGGAAAATAGTTTTCTACAATAAATGCTACATTAAAAAAAATATAGACTCTATTCAAAATTTTGTCCTGGATCCAGAAATATAAGCAATCTTTGGGGAAAATTTTACATCTTAGTCTTATCTTAAAAGAATCAGAAACTGCATTTTACTTAAATCTTTAGGAAAAGTATATACTCATGAATTTGAAGAACACTATTTTAGATAATCATTTCCAATTTGCCCTAAATAAGTGACATCTTTTGCATTACAAGTCACTCTAAATTTATAAAAGTAATTTGTCTTCCTATGTTTATGAATAAGGTAAGTTATTGTTCACCAATCTCTCCTCTGAGAGTTTAAGGTGCATAAGTAATGAATTCCATCTGGTTTTTCCCTTCCTGAAGACTCACATTTTTTTGATTCTGTAAAAACAAGCTCTCCTGATGCTTCCAAACCTTGAATCAGTACTACATAATTATAATGGTTTTCTTTATTTTTATTTTATTTTCTTCTATTATTGAGATTATTAAATAATTACATCGTTTCTTCCTTCCTTTCCCTCCATCCAAACTGTCCCATATACCTTTCATATCTTTCTTGCAAATTTAAGGTTCCTTTTCATTGTTTTCACATTCATGCATATATATGCATATTATTAAATATAATTATAAATTATATTATAAATAAATATAACCTGCTTAGTCTGTATAATGCTACTTACATGTGTGTTTTTCAGAGATATGAAACCTTACTCTCAGTCACATATAGCTTACATGGTAGATAGTTCAGACAATAGTGTAACCAGTGTCAAGATTTATGTGATTCTGTACTACTATGTATGAAATTATTACCTGAACATCAATGAGCTTAGTAAAAACTCAGCACAGGTGTATTTTAGAGCTCAACAGAAAAAGAAATAGTAAATAGTTAAAGCAGAAGAGAGGTTCCTATCTGTAATATCAAGTGATTCAATTCCATAACCCCTCTATACACCACACCAGATTCAAATCATCAAATTGAATTTATTTCATTTTGCTTTATTGAGTTATATTGTTTTCAATTCAGTGTGAAAGAAAGCTACAAACATATGGTTTGATGATTGTTTATCATCTTTATTATTACCATATAATATTTAAATTAAAGCATTATATATTATAATAATTTACATTCATAAGTTATTAAACAACATTTTATAGTTACATTTTCTTCATAAGGATAATCTACCTTCTCAATTTTATTATATTTCATTAGTTGCCTTATATAAACATCTTTTAGGAAAAATATTATATTTAATACTAAACAGCTCATATATGACAGAAAGTATGAAGTGAAACAGATTGACCTCCTGTAACTGCAACTTTGTTGAAACTGATTGTTGGGACTACATATGAAAATAAATCTTCTTGATACCTTCTGAATTTCTGCACATAAATATTTTCCAGATCTTTCAGTGTTAAGTCAAAATTTTTCTTGACAAAAATTAAAGAGGGTTGTTTGGAATAGACTAGGCTTCACCAAGGGCCATAGATAAATACCCATTCGCAAATCCAGTCTTTCTGTTGACAACAGCAATGGATTAGAATATACATTATAAAGTGTAAGAAAATAAAAATGCCTTTATTGTCATCACTGTAAATGAATTTGTGTGACTATGTACACACATATGTGTATATATGTATGTGTGTTTATTTTTTTGTTTTTGTAGGCTGTATGCTATTGGTGGGCGTGATGGAAGTTCCTGCCTCAAGTCAATGGAGTACTTTGACCCACACACTAACAAGTGGAGTCTGTGTGCTCCAATGTCAAAAAGACGTGGAGGTGTAGGCGTAGCAACGCACAATGGATACTTGTAAGTTGTAGGGGGACATGATGCTCCTGCTCCTAACCATTGTTCCAGGCTTTCTGACTGTGTAGAAAGGTAAGTTTTTCCACATGTGGTTTTTTGGACTATTTAATGAGAAAAAAAATTTAAACTACAAAAATGTAATTGGATTCATTAGTTTTTATAATGGATTTGTACTTTGTAACATTCTACACTTATGCTTTTACAAAGTATTTTGTAAAAGGCCCTATAAATTTAGTATTAAACTTTATGAAACATATTTGTTTAGTTATGTTATAAAGTAGTGGCACAAAAGAGATAAACGTAAAAGGACATTTTTATGCAAAGTTATCAATCAGTCATGTTATCCAAATCAAATTAAGTTTACCATTTCAAAACTCAATTTGGTCTTCAAAGTGATAATAAAATGGACTGTCAAAAATATGAGCAGAATTTCCAAACAAAATTACTTTTCTGAACAACAACTTTACTTATTGCAATAAATATTTCCTTGCTCAAAGCTAATTTTACAGTTTTAGTCTTTGCTCTTTGGGCATCCTCCACCCAGATCACAAATAAAGACACAGAGACCTACTCATACTTATGAATGCTGGAGCTTTGCTTGTTTTTAGCAAGCTTTTCTAACTCAAATTATCCGATTTCTCTTTAACTTTGTTTTGCCTCTGGGCTTTTTACCTTTCTTTATTCTATATATCTTTCTTTCTTTTTAATCTGTGGCTGGGTGGCTGGCCCCCAGTGTCCTCTCTCCTCTTTCTCTTACTTATCTCTCTTTTTATTCTCTTGTTTTATCTCTCTACCAGGCAATCCCACCTATCCTTCTCCTGCCTAGCTATTTATCAGCCATTCAACTCTTTATTAGACCAATCAGTTGTCTTAGACAGGCAAAGTAACACAACTTTACAGAGTTAAACTAATGCAACATAAAAGAATGAAACACATCTTTATATCATTAAACAAATATTCCACAGATTAAACAAATATATCTTTAACTAACATTCTATGATATTTCTCACTTTTCTTTAAATAAAAATAAAATATTTTAACTTTAACATTGTAAAAGTGTACACAACAAAAGCAATTATCAGGCTGGAGTGATGGCTTAGCAGTTAAGAGCACTGACTGCTCATCCGGAGGTCCTGAGTTCAATTCCCAAAACCCACATGGTGGTTCATAACCATCTGTAGTGAGAGCCCTCTTCTGGCCTGCAGCCATGCATGCAGACAGAACACCATACACTGCTTTTATTTAAAAAAAAAAAAAGCAGTTATAGGGGCTATAGAGATGGCTCAGAGGCTAAGAGCAATCCCTGCTCTTCCAAACATCCTGAGTTCAATTGCCAGCAACCACATGGTGGCTCATAACCATCTGTAATGGGGTCTGGTACCCTCTTCTGGCCTGCAGGCATACACACATACAGAATATTGTATCCATAATAAATAAATGTAGTGGTAGGAGCGGCAGGCCGCTTCCCACCACCCGGCTATCTTTACCTGAAATAATTACACGGAAACTGTATTCTTTTAAACACTGCCTGGTCCATTAGTTCTAGCCTCTTATTGGCTAATTCTCACATCTTGCTTTAACCCATATTTAATAATCTGTGTATAACCATGAGGTGTGGCTTACCAGGGAGATTCTTAACCTGCATCTGTGTCGGGTGGGAGAATCATGGCCACTGCCTGACTCGGCTTTCTTTCTCCCAGCATTCTGTTCAGTCTACTCCGCCTATTTAAATTCTGCCCTATCAGGCCAAGCAGTTTTCTTTATTAATTAACCAATGAAAGCAACAGATAGATAACAACACTCCCACTTCAAATAAATAAATATAAAAAAGCAGTTATCAAGTAAGAGTTACATTTACAATTCAGATCCTTTGTATTTAGCAAATTCAAAATAAAATACTCCATTGATTATCTTATCTTAGTGATTCTGAAATGCTATGCCTAATTTATTTTCTATCATGCCTAAGTAAAGCTATAACAATATTTAGTCTTTATCTCCACCAAAGATCCCAGATGGATGTAATATTACCTAACAACAGAGACATTTTGTTTCCTGGACATTCACCCAATGTTCCTTTGCAATGTTGGGGCATCTATTTTTAGCCACAGGCCTACCATATCTGGCATACTTTTCAGTGAAGCAGAAATTTTGAAGGACTGTTCTACCTTGTATTGGCAAAATCTGACAGTCACTTTCCTCTGTGTCCTGCAGAATGTTTGTCAGACTTTTCTGTGAAGCAGGATTCTTGAAGGACTGTTCCACCTTCTCTTGGCAAACTTTAACAGTTTTTTTTGATGTGCTATACTTGCCCATTGAAAACAAACTCCATATGGAGTTTCTTCAATGTCCATCATTCTTTTATGAAGTAAAGTGTTGATGCCAAAAGCAGATGTGTCTCATTACCTTGAAAACCTTAGGTTATTAAACATATTAACTGCCACATTCTATAGGTATTTTAAATGTTTGATAATCACCTATCTGTCTAAAATATACTTGCTTAACCTTGAAAACATATCTGATATAACTAAAAGCCTCATTAGTATAGATTAACTACACACCCCATATCCTAATTATACATTGTATTTCTAAATGAGCTGTATAAGCACAATACACAAAATAAAAGTAGAAACATATATACATTATAACAAAAATAACTCTAAATTTGTATAAATATACGAAAATCAATGCCTATGCAAAAAAATAGAGATTAATAATTGTCTTCTTATCCTATATTGCTATATTTCTTTAATGATAACTAACATCCATAACCCACCAAATAACCAACAACGATCTACTCCATCTTTTTGGAATATAGGTTTCATGTTCTCCAAATTGCTTCCTGATATCTGTGGGTGAAGGCTTCTTTAGGGGGTCCCTGTAAATATTGAGATAATGGCCAAGTCCTGACAGACAAGATATATCTTTTGCTGATATATATCACCTGTCAATATCAGCAGCCCTTGCCCAATCAAACCTGATACTTATCAACCTGGAAGGAATCTATAGGTTTTTTTTTTTGTAGAAATAAAAACAAAAGCTCTTCTCCAAGGAAATTCATTTTTAAAAATTATTTTTAAAAGTTAAGATAGACCTAAAGCAGGTTGGTTCCACTTAACAGTCTAGTTCACAATCTCATGTCTGTTAGCCTGCTGCCCTTTGGTTATAGCAATCAAAAAACTCAAGTTCAATAAGGCAATATGTAGGATACAGACTCCATGTGTGTTTTCAAAATTTACATGGCTTATTCTTTTTTATATTACTTTACTTCTAGCTATAAAGTTTTGTTATGTTTTTAACTTTTTTTAGTAACTATTTTACCCTGTCTCTTTTCTTAAGCCTACATACATTGTAAAACTCACTGTAACCTGTTTAAATGTGTCTCCATATAGACCTCGTTTACTGCATATAGAATAGCTGCTTTTGACTGTATGAGTCTTTAAACTGCTAAGTGGTGTGGCTAGGACCACTGCTGCACTTTTAGCCAGCTTTTCTTAAATTATTCCATTTCTCTTCAACTATGTTTTTTCTCTGTGTTTCTACCTTTCTCTAGTCTATGTCTTTCCTTTCTTCTTACTCCATGACTGCCCATGTTGTTGGGAAGTTGGACCTTTGCCTCCTCCTTTCCTTCTTCTTTTCTCACTCTTCCTCTTCTCTCTCATCTCTCTCATTTATCTTCTCTGTCTGGCAGCCCCAACTATCTTTCTCCTGGTAAACTATTGTCTATTTAGCTCTTTATTACATCAGTCTTGTGTTTTACACATGCAAAAAAACTTTGCTTCACAGAGTTAAATAAATGCAACTTAAAAGAGTGTAACACATCTTTTTATCATTAAACCAATTTTCCACAGCATAAATGAATAGAAAACAACTTAAAATAATATTCCATGGCATGAGTTCTTAGAGTGGAAAACATTGGTTTAGATAAATAACATTATTTGTTGCTTAAAATAAAGATCATCTGTCTGTATTCTCTTTCAAAGTAGACAAAATACATAGGCACAAAAATAGTTAAAATAATGTTAAATTATCACCAAATCACAAATTATCAGTGGGATCTCAGAAAACACAGATGATATAAGAGATATTCCCTTAAAGAAATTCATGGAACAGGTAGAATTTGTACGTTGTAGACATATATTTCTGTTGGAATTTTCTTACTAACACACACATACATGCACACACACACATATACACACACAAATAAACACAGGATTGAACACAAGTACACAAATGTCACACACATTAAAGCCATTACTGTAAAGAAAGAGAAGGCTTTCCAGTTTTCTGGTTTCCATCACTGCTATCCAATCTTTTTCTTTTTTCTTTTTTTTTAATTTTTATATTGTTATTACAAATTTTCACCTCCTCTCTTTTCCCTCCCCTTTCCCCCTACTCCTCCTCCCTCTTGAGACCAAAGAGCAGTCAGGGTTCCCTGCCCTGTGGGAAGTCCAAGGTCCTTCCCACTCCATCCAGGTCTAGGAGGGTGAGCATCCAAACAGACTAGGTTCCCACAATGACAGTTCATGCATTAGGATCAAAACCCTGTGCCATTGTCCTTGGCTTCTCAGTCAGCCCTCCTTGTCAGCCACATTCAGAGTCCGGTTCGGTCACAAGTTCCATCAGTCCCAGTCCAGCTGGCCTTGGTGAGTTCCCATCAGATCAGCCCCACCGTCTCACTGGGTGGGCGCAACCCTCGTGGTCCTGAATTCCTTGCTCATGTTCTTTCTCCTTCTGCTCCTCATTTGGACCTTGGGAGCTCAATCCAGAGCTCCAATGTGGGTCTCTGTCTCTATCTCCATCCAATGCCAGATGAAGGTTCTATGGTGATATGCAAGATATTCATCAGAGTGGCTATAGTATAGGGCCAGTTCAGGTGCCCTCTTCTCAGCTGCTCAAGGAACAAGCTGGGGACATCTCCTTGGACACCTGGGAACCTCTCTAGAGTCCAGTCTCTTGCCAACCCTAAAATGGCTTCGTTAATTAAGATATATACTTTGCTGCTCCCATATCCACTCTTCCTCCATCCCAACCATCCCATTCCCCCAAGCTCTCCCCATCCTCCCCTTCTCACT